GGGCCCGCGCCGCCGCCGGGGGCTCGGCAGGCCCGGGGGGCGGCGCAGCGATCGGCCCCGCGCCCCGGCCCGCGCCGGCCGCCCGCCGCCAAACTTTGCGGCGCGCACACATGCTCCGAGTTGGGCGCGGCGGCGGGCGCTAGGGCGCGGCCATGAGCGGGCGGCCGGCGCCGCTCTCCCGCAAGCAGCGGCTCATGGCAGCCGTGGGCGAGCGGGCGGCGGGCGGCGGCGCGGCGCTCTCGTGCTTCATCTGCGGCGGCGGCATCGGGCGCGGCAAGGAGCTGAAGCTGCAGGTGAAGGAGCCGGCGGCGGGCGCGGGGGCCCCGGCGCAGCCCTTCTTCCCGTTCCTGCAGCAGCAGGAGCCGGCGCCCGGCGCGCGCGAGCTGTCGCCGGCCGACGGCTGCGTGCTGGTCTGCGCCGTGTGCCGCTGCTTCCTGGGCGAGCAGTGGGCCGCCTTCGAGCGCGCGCGCACGCCGGTGGACAAGCGCATGTACTGGCTCAAGCGGCCCCACCAGTGCGACGCGGGCGCCAGCGGGCGCCGCGGGGGCGCCGGAGCCCCCCGCGAGTGGAACGTCGCCTACGCGCTGGGCAGCGCCGCCGGGGACGACGACGACGGCGGCGGCCCGGGGCCCCGCGCGGCGGCCGAGGACACTCGAGACTCCGAGCTGTCGGAGCTGTCGGACACCGACCCCCTGTCCGATCCCGACCCGGCCGCGCGCGACGCCAGCAGTCCCCTGCAGGACGCGCCGCCTGCGCGCCGGCCCACGCCGGGGGCCGGGCCTCGCGGGGGCCGCTGCCAGGAGTGGAGGCCGGCGCCGGGACCCGCTCCGGGACAGGACTCAGAGCCCCCTGCGCAGGGGGATATGGAGGAGGGGATCTCCTCGAAGCTCCACGCCGACGTGGAGCCCAAGACCGGAGTCAGGCGCCGGAGAAAGGGCGTTGGAAGGCACTGGGCTCCTGAACCCCGGGCCAGCGTCCTGAGGGGCATTCCTGATCTTTGGCAAGGCCCTCTGAGCCAGGCAGCCCCTACAGATGGCATGAAAGAAGTTCACTTGGGCAAGGCCACCAAGCCCCAGGAGAGCAGGCCCCCCGGGGACACCCTCCGGGGTTACTGCACATCGGAAGACAGTGACATCAACATCACCAGCGAGGAAGAGGACCACAAGGAGCAGCCGGTCCCAGGGCCCGGAGAGAAGGACAGTAGTGGTGGTGTCCTTCGGGCTCCTCTGGAGAGCCAGGCTGTGCCACCAGAGGGCCTTTGCTGCTACATCTGTGGGTCAGTGCTGTCCCCCGCCTCCCAGCGCCAGATCCACGTGCAGAAGCAGGAGAAGCTGGCCCAGGCGCCCTTCTTCCCCTTCCTCTGGCTGCACAGCCCGCCCCCCGGGGCCCAGCCCATCAGCCCGGCGGGCAGCACCCTGGTGTGCTCCCGCTGCTTCTCCTCCCTCACGCAGCAGTGGCAGAGCTTCGAGCTGGCCAGCGTGCCTGTCCTGCAGCGGCTCTACGTGGTGCCCCTGAACAGCCACGCCCCCGGCATGGCCTCCAAGGGCAGGAGGCTCCCCAGGGAGGAGGGCCCCCCCACCAGGGCCCTGCAGGAGGCCTGCTACCTCTGCGGGGAGGACTGTACCCAGGATGCCCGGGCAGTGCCCTCCAGGGCCCTCAACGGCAGCGCCAGGAGCGCCATGCATTTCCCCTTCCTCAGCCTCCTGCCCTGCCCGCCCAACGCCCGGGCCCCCAACAAGCGCTGTGAGGTGCGCAGCTGCCCCAAGTGCTTCAGCGTCCTGGAGGACGTCTGGGCCCTGTACCGGGCCTGCCAGAACCAGGAGCTCATCACCTCCGTGCAGGGCTTCCTGGGCAGGTACCACCAGGCCTTCTCCGCCTCCGACCCTGCCCTCGGCGAGCTGCCCGCCTCTGCCCACGGCGGCCCGGCGTCCGTCTGCTACATCTGCGGGGCAGAACTGGGCCCCGGGAAGGAGTTCCAGCTCAACGTGAACCCCGCCAGCCGCCTGGGCGAGAAGGAACCCTTCTTCCCCTTCCTCACCGTCTACCCGCCCGCCCCGCGAGCCAGGCCGGCGGACGCCACTGGTCTGGTGGCCGCCTGTGTGCTCTGCTACCATGACCTGCTGGGTCAGTGGCTGCAGCACGAGGCCCGAGGTACCCAGCACGCTGTCAGCGCCTGGGCTCGGCAGTACCAGGTGGAGACCTTCGTGTGCTTCTTCTGCCAGCAGGAGAAGAGGCGCTGCCTGGGGCTGAGGCCCGTGCGCGTGGCCAGGCTGCCCTTGTTCCTCTACACCCTGCGAGCCAGCCACAGCCTGCTGGTGGACGACGGGCGGCAGCTCATCATCGGGGCCTGCGTGGACTGTGGGACCCTGGTGTGCGCCGGTCAAGGGCTCACCCGCCAGGGACCCTCGGGCTGGAGCTCCCCGGTGGCCGCAGCGACGAAGGTAAGCTGCAGTTTCCGTCTGGTCTGGGACCTTTCCCGAGACGCACGAGGGGACGGGAGGTGTTTTCTGTTCCTCCGAAGAACCCCGGGCTTCCCTGGTGCTGTGTGGGTGGTGCCCTCCCTGGGTCACTGAGCCTGCTCTTGGGGTTACCTTGGCCTGGCGTGGGCAGGTCAGGAGCGGGGCTCAGGATGGCTTAGAAGAATCGGGCACTGCTGGCCGGGGCAGGCAGGGGCCGGGCCTGGCTGTGTTTGGGGCGGAATCCGTCAAGCGGAGGAAGTCGGGGGCACGTCTGTCGCCCGCCTGATAACATTGGTAACGAGTGTGGCCCCGCGGGTCACGGAGAGGTCTTGTACTCACGGGTTTGAAACACACTGCAGGGAAGTTCCTCTCGGCTCTGGCTCCAGTTTTTCACCCAAGTTCACCCCGTTCATTGGAGACGTTCTGGTTGCTTAATGGCAGATGGCAACTGGTTCCCAGACGCAGGGGCAGGATTTGGGGCACAGTGGCCTGAACAGGCCTTCTTTCCCCGGGGGGGAAGAGGCCTTCTCTGCGAGCCAGAGAGGAGTCTCCCTGCCCTCGCTCCTTCCTCTTGCTGCCCCCACCCCCGCCCCGCGCCACACGGGCTCAGAGAACCCTGGATCCTGCTTTTCAGAGACCGGCCCCCGGGTCTGAGGAGGTAGAGGTCTGTGGCAGTCACCGTCCTGGCCACGGGCCATGGGTCCTCCTTTCTACCAGAGAGTTAGACCGGCGTGTGTGGGCCAAAGTCTGTAGCAGGAGCCGCTGGCCAAGGGCTGGCCGAGGGCTGGCCGAGGGACCGGGGTGGGTGAGGAGTGCGGGCCCTGCGTGGAAGTGACCTGATCTGCCTCGTCCTGACCTGTGCTGCGGGTGACGTGCCCAGGATGTGCCCATGCATGGTGACCGCGTCCGTGAGGTGGGCCCCGTGGGCCTTGGTGCGCTCCCGGGGCAGCCCGTGCCTGTGTCCTGCGCCTGTGTCCTGCTCCTGACAGCTCTGGGCGAGAGCACAGCCCCTCACTTCAGCTGGACCAGCATGTCGTCCGCCCTGGGTGCTGAGCCTGGCCATCAGCCTGGCTGGGGCTCCCAGAGGGCAGGCCCTGGGCAAGCTGGGCTTGGGCAGCCCAGGTCCTGGCCCAGCCCTGCCCCTTTCTGGAACTGAGCCGCCTGCAGTGAGGTTCTTCTCCTGGTGGCCCGTCAGTCTCCCTGGCTGGGAGGTGGAACTGGGCACCGGGACTTGTGGGGACGTGGTGAGGATGGAACCTGTTGGGGACGGTGACGTGCCCGGGTCCAGGATGTGCCACATGGTGGCCCCACAGACCCCTGTGTGGGGGCCGGCTCTAGGGTGCTGTCGTGTCCTGGGGCCAGGCTCCTGGCCTGGGCGTTGCTGGTTTTAGCCTGACTGTGGTGAGAGGCGCACCAGGCTCCGCGCGTCCCCACGGGTGGCCTGCTGACTCTCTCTGCTCAGGGGTCTGTGAGGTGGGCTGTGGGCCTGAGTGACAGGGACCTGGGTGATGAGACGCTGCCCTCCCCAGGCCGGCCGTGGGAGCTGGGAGCAGCCGGGGTCCACCTGGAAAGTGGCCGGTGCCATTCCCAATGTGCATGGTCGCCTCTGCCGTCCCCCTGCCCAGGAGCCTTGGGGTTCTCCTTCCATAGAAGAAATCGAGGCCGGTGCCCTTGGTGACGACCTGAGCCCCTGAGCCTGTCAGTCCGCCTGGGAGGGGCCTGGGCAGCGTAGGGGGGTTGCTGAGCAGGGTACTTGGCAGGAAGTGGGGAGGCTGGGAAGAGGCCGCAGCCTCCCGGCCAGAGCCTCTCCAGGAAGGGGACAGGCCTGGGGGTCCAAGGCCCAGGGGC